ATTCCGGTCAAGGGCATGTACCTGGGTTTCGGGCACATCCCCAGTGGGGAGTGTGCAGGAGGCAGCTGATCGATGTTTCTCTCTCATCGATGTTTCTGACTCTCTATCTCTCTCCCTTCCTCTCTGTAAAAAATCAATAAAATATATTTTTAAAAAATAAAATAAAATAAGTGATATAATATTATATTTAAAATAATTTTTCTTGAAATATTAATGTTTGTTGCATGTAAATGGCTAATTATCTTATATCTAAAACCTGATAATAGATTTAGTTTGCATATTGTATGGTTAAGTGCAAAATAAATAACTAAATAAATAAATGTGGGGGGAAAAAAGTGATAGCCCTAGCTGGTTTGGCTCAATGGATAGCGAGCATCGGCCTGTGGACTGAAGGGTCTCGGGTTTGATTCCAGTCAAGGGCACATGCCCAGGTTGAGGGTTCGATCCCCAGGAGGTGGCGTGCAGGAGGCAGCTGATCAATGATTCTCATTATTGATGTTTCTATCTCTCCCTCTCCCTTCCTCTCTGAAATCAATTAAATATATATATATTTTTTTAAATAAGTGATACAACAGCAGTGAGTGAGGCCCAATAGGGAAGGACGCCCAAGTCAGCAGTGGCCTGTGGGCAGCAGCACAGGGACCCCATGAGATGCAGAAAGGGGAGTGACCAGGAGAAGCAGGTGGGGGACTTCGGAGAAGCGGGGCCCCAGTGAGGTGCACGGATCTGGGGGAACCATAGTCTGCACCAGAGTGAGAAGGGACAAGTTTCCAAACCCCAAAGGGTTGCCCTTCTAGAAGGCCATACTGTGGCCATACTGTGCTACAGTTCTTTCCACTGAACTCATGAGACCCTCCCAGGGAAGCAGTGTGCTGTCCCCTGACACCTGCTGGGTTGAACCCCTGCTGGGACGTCTTCCAGTCGACATTTTGTTCCACCATAAAACTCCCTCCCACAAATACTCAGTTTACCGACTCCTTGCAGAGGCTTTAATAAGATTCTGCCCACACTGACCATCTGTTTGAAACTTACAATAACCTCTTTGGCCTTGAGGCAGCATGAATGTGTCTCAGTTCTTCGCAGCTGCCCAGTGAGAACCAGGAAGTCTGTAGAGAACTCCCCGTTTCTAAAGAGAGGCTCTTCTGGCTCTAGTCCCAAGGCCTGCCGTGGGGTCAGTAGGGCCGTGGGGGTTGAAGTGACCTGGGAAGACAGTGGCCACGGGGGGGCCGGTGGTCAGCCCAGAGGGGCCACCAACCCTCAGGGCCGAGGCAGGGAGTCCCTCTCCGGCCTGTCCTAACACCACGAGTTGCTCATAGATGGTTAGTCTTTAACGAGAGCCCAGTGGTTGCACAAGGCTAAGTGGATGAATTGCTTGGTATGTGAATTACATGTCAATAAAGCTTTTTAAAAAAAAGCAAAATTTTAACATTTTTTAAATGACTCCAGTTGCTAAAAAAATTTTAAAGCCAATAATTGTGAGAAAAATTATGAAAAATAGTTTAAAAGTATAAACCATGTGACCATGCTTCCAAGTGCCTTTAGCTGGAAGGGGCCACCTCAATCCCTGAGAACTTCACCACTCAAACACTTGTCTGTGGCACCCCCTTCCCTTTGGGGGTGGCCGCGTTGCTCAGGAGCCTCAAACTTCCTGCATTTGGAACTGAGAACAGGATGTGGCATTGGTCCAGTTCCACTGGGGCCAGTGGGGAGAGCGTAAGGCCCCCAGGCCCACGCCCACGCCCCGCTGAGCCGAGGGCTGACCAGTGAGTGCCCCAGGTGAGGCCATTCCCAGGTTGCTCAGGAAGAATTCTTGGCATCTGGTAACAACCAATAAAAGATATAAAATTGTGAGCAGTAAATAGTCAAGACAGCCAGCATATCAGCAAGATTCACAATGGTTTTATATCCAGGATTCCACACACCCCTGCAGGCCCATCTGGCCAGCTCATGAGAAATGGACAAACATTTGCCTCTGCGGGGTTATAAAAGAACATGGA